AAACTTACCAGAGATATTCAACTATATGCCCAATTAGCCTATGCATTAAATAATCCAGTGATTGATTACATCTCAGCTGATCCTGAAAAAAAATCATACAATTCAGTGATACACATTTAACCTCATTTTACAATGTAAGTAAAGCAATAATTTACAGACAAAAGGGACAGAAAAACATGTTTAAATGTAATGCAAAATAATATCTCTTATATATGGATACCTATACTCTAATCATATTAAATGTCATTGGTAAAATGTATTTTTTAAGACAGATTTATTTAGGATAGACTTTTTAAATGATAACATAACCCGACTGTATACAAGAATAGATATGGGTTACCCCATATCCAAGATATTCGACTTTTAAATTTACTTGAATTTTCAACAAGAGAAATAGTTGTTACATATAAAGATGTATTTACATGTGTTCAAATATATGATTGTAAATATTGTCTATGAGATGTAAAATGTCAGGGTCCTCCATGGAAGGAGCAGGAGAGACAGTCCTCATTTTACTGGCTGTGTTCCTGTGTTTGATTTCCTCATCACTGAGTTCACTGAACTTGCTCACCTCACTGTCCTGAAAATCACAAAATTAAAAATGTTTTACAATGAAATAAACATGTGTTTAATTATTTACAAGGCAGTAGATACCACTTTATAAACACATCACTTATTGCTTTAAATATACAGATAAAAACAGGAGAATAGCTTGGCAGGTGTGATATAATTATTATCGCAGACTAATTTCAGTTCTTACTGGGTTTTTGTAGAACAACTCCTTCAGGGGAGTTTCACTGTGAATTGGATCTCCTGGATCACTGACCAAATCCATGTCATCTGATACGGAACCTGGACTTCTTCCTCCTATGTTCAATATCTGTTAAAATATGTTCAACATAAAACAAAAATTAGTGGATGTAAATGTATCGTTAATAACAGGCTTGAGTATCCTGAAATTGCTTACATCATAAATTTTCAATTTTTAATTATTTAGTGTCAAGGTTAGTTTACCTGTAAATCATCAAATCCTGTTTCCCCTACAACCAAGTCAATAGCATTCTCCTCAAATGGTAAATTAATATGCCCATTCACGTGAGCCTTTTTGGACTGTAAAATTTCTTTCAAAAAACTTCCTGCAGACTGGTGACTGATGAATATTGAAAAAAAAAAACATTGTTTCAATTTTTGAATAATATGGTCGTGGTTGTGCAACAAAATTCAGATTTTACATACAATTAAAGTATATACATATTCATTACCATTTAATCTCTAGAATGTCTGAAGAATTATCATTACAATTCTTTTCAAGAACTGACCTTTCAGACATGATTCTGGAAAAATCCATATTTCTGCTTTGCAACTCAGTCCTACAATTAGCACTAGGAATTTCTCTAGATTGAGTAACATTGTCTTCAATGGATGAAATGATCATTTCTTTGTGTAACTTATCTCCCCTTTCCAACAGAATTGACAGAACATCGTTTCCCATAGGAGCTTCACTGCCATTTGCTAAAGTCTGTGAATGAGCTACATGATTGGATGATTTTTTCTTTGGTGATTTGGGTTTATGTGAAGCACTGGTGGAGTGCACTGATATGGCACTGTGGTTAGGCGTGGGATGCAAGATGAAATTAAGGTGATTCTGGTCCAGATTTGACGTGACAATGTTGATGTTCGCCGTCACCTTGACAGAACTACCAGACTGAACAGGGTGTGGATGGGAATGCTGCGGGTTGTCATGGAAACTGTAATGGTGATTGCTGGGCTTGCATATCCAATTGAAACGGTCCCATTCTGAAAGAAATTAAAAATGTCAATTATTTCTTACGTCAAAATTTTTTTTTCTTTGTATAAATTCAATCAAAACTATTTATCAAAGATATCATCTTTTTCATAAAAAACATTATTGCAAACAAAGTGTTACAGAAATAAATGTTCTTGCAAATGAAGTGTTAAAATGATGAAAATTGCTACAGGTTCTTAAGGTAAGTCACTCCTGAAATTTGTTATATCAAGGATTTTTTGAGAAGTATATTTTGGATAAGTACTCATAAAGTGTAACTCAAAATCGCAAAGAAAATAGGAGGTCAGTGTGCATCCTACTGATCTACGGTACATTTAAGTTGACCTTTTTGCACTTAAATTTCATCTCTTTGGTTAATTACTTTAACCCTTATAATATTTGATTAGATGTAAGCATGGCAATAAATATAATCTTATTTTACGTAAACAAGTTTGAATAATATTTATCATTAAACAAATCTTGCAAATTAATGCGCGTAAATTATTGTGTGACCTTTTTGCACTAAAAAATAACATATTTGGGGTATTAAAAAACTTAATAGGCTATAAAAAATTTTCTTATATCAAACTTTTTACGACTTGAGTGCTGATCAGTCTCAAGTATCGAGTAGTTTAAAATAATGAAAGAAAAAGGTTAATGTTAATTTTGAAATATTTGTCAAAATTATGGTGTAAATTTGACCTTGACTTGTTCAATATATTTTTTTTTTGGAAAAGTTTGTTGAGGGAAGGTGTAAAACTTAGTCTAAAACTATAAATTAAGACCTATATTAAATATATTTAGCAATATCAAAACGATATTCATAAAAGTATGTGAGGCTAAAATTCCATTACATTAAATTTTATAAATGTGCATTAGAATTTTCTGCAAATATCCTTCCACCAAAAGAAATAGTCCCTATAAATCTTGCTTCTTTTTAGATTTTTGAGCAGTTTTTTCATTGAATATTAAAAAATTTACATTGTTGAATTCAAATATGTTATAAAAATTGAATTTAAATAAATAGTTTTGAAGTAAAAGCTTCTGCGTGAACTTTTCTAAAAAGCTGAGGAGTGACTTACCTTAATATTAAATTCCTACCTGATTAGGAACTGGTGATATGAATGGATCCTCTGTTGGTTTCTTTGGTGGCATGGCATAGGGTTTGTGTTGTATTCTTTGTGGGTACATAGATTCTTTGGCACTTAGGCTGTAGTACAAGTCTACAAGGTAAAATGATACAACATTTTGAAATAGTCATTCAAAGATGATAGAGACATCTGTCATAAATTTTACAATTTTGATACCCCTAAGACCATTTGTTGCCAAGTACTCCATCTAACAATGTATGAAACCATTATTAGGAAGGTACAGGTTTTTAAGTTTTACACTAAAAAATATTTTCAAACATACCTGACACAGTCTCCAGTTGTAATGAGACCTCAAGATCTTCTAACTTATCGTCATTAGGGGACATAACAGGATACCATCTAAAAAACAATTAATTTGATATATTGACTTACTAGTACTGTTGCAACTATATTTTCTTCAATTCAAGATGGACCATATACACTTTTTGAAAAAAATTCCAATTAAATTAGATAACAATTAATATACAAATTATTTTCTACCAATCTTTTATCTTGTAAGTTCTTTTTCAAAATTCAAACTACATACTATATAATTACATACCCTTGAAATGGAGAGCTGGGAGAAATCTTTGCAATGTCTGTAGCCTCAGCATACCTGACAGGTATCATCATCCCCCCACTGAGTACCTCTATCAGCAGACTGGACATGTCAGTTAGGTAGGTTACAAACTGCTTAGGACCAGACTTAAAAGGGTACCTGGCCAGGGTCTTAGCCATGGCAAAATTTCCCTTCTTTGCATCATATGGTCTGAAAAAGTTTTTAAAAATGTGAGTATGAATCCTTTCCTTCAAAGAATTCAACATAGTATTACATTAGTGTTTTGGATTATTTAATTTCAATGCCTTTGCTAGTCAAACCTATTGTTCAAAATTGGATATGCATTAAACACTTAACAGCGAAAAGAATATACTAGACAGAGTGAATACTGACCTGAAGACGGACTCATTGTGTCAAATGCTAACTTCTAATGTGGCTCCATATCCTAATCTCAAGGGTATTTATTATAGTAGAATACATGATGCATAGTCATTTACTCCTGATTAACAGATTTCTCACAAAGTCTTGCCATTTCATTACATATACTGCTTGAGGGATATAATCTTGGTGGACACAGTCTTTTTAAAAATAAACCTTGCATTGTTGATACACGAGATAATGCCACATATGCCATTCCACCCCTGAATATTGAAGGCCCTATGTCACATACAGCATTTTCTAACGATAAACCTTGCACTTTATGGATTGTAGAGGCAAAGGATAAAACTAGAGGGATCTGACATCTTGTGACATAAGTTTGGTGGTTTCCAAGAAAAGTCACTGACAAAGGCTTTATGCCAACAGGTTCACCTGTTCTTTGCTGAAACCCAGGAAGTATATTCTTGTTATCAAATAGGACATTTATACATCTTGGCATATTTTTGTCTTCTTTTGTCCACTCAATGGAATGAACAGTTCCTTGTGCACCATTCACAAGTCCTCCAGTTGTGTCTATGTTTCTAATCAACATCACACGTGCATTTTTACACACTACAAGTGTTTTGGGTAGTCCAGCACATTTTTGATCATCATCTGGAATAAATTTTTCTGGAACATTATGAATAGCATTAATTTCAATTATTTCTTCAGATTCACTGGATAAACGTACAAGTTCAGTATTATGCATGTCTCTATCTCTCTTCACTGGGAAAATGTGCAGTAACTTTGAAACATCCTCTGTACTAACAATTCGTGATGAAAGGATTTTAATGTCCTTTTCGGTTTGATTACCAGTCCTGATACGATTTAAAAGTGCAGCATACTCAGGATCCTTTGACTGCCGTTTATTTTCCAATAATTCAAACATTTTGAAGAAATCTTTCCATAAATGAAAAGGAGTTCTACACGCAGTGTCAGCAAATATTGCACTTCCATAAACTGGTGGTAGCTGATAAAGGTCTCCAAATGCAATTATGTGAATGTTTCCAAAATAGGTGTCATTATCAAGATAGTGGCCTTTAATTTCATTTAGACGCAGATGTATGTGCTCCAGCGTGTTATAACTTACCATACTTATTTCATCTATAATCAAACACTGAACATACTTGAATGTATCACTCAACAATTTGTAGCTTTTGGGTGATAATCTTCTGTACTGTGCATTTGCTTTGTCTTGGGTAGGAAGTTGAAGTAAGGTATGTAATGTGTGCCCATTAATATTGAAGGCTGCTACTCCAGTAGGTGCTGCCACTAATACATTTGGAAACTCATGTGCATTTTGACGCAGAAAAAATTCCTTTAACAAACACAAAAGAAATGATTTACCAGTTCCTGCACCACCTGTAATGAACAAGGTTAATTGGTTCATTCCTTTTGAATGTTTCTGCACATAATCAAACACTACTTTTTGAGATGATGATAGCAACAATATCTTTTCTTGATACTCTTCTTCAGACATAGATAAATGTGCTAGTTTTTTAAACATTCCTACATTAAAGTCACTTTCAGTTACATCTTTTTCTTTCTCGTCATTTAATATATCAAAAGAGAAAATATCCTCTACTTTAGATAGTCCCTCTTCTAAAGCCACATTATTCAGCTGTTCGTTTGATGGTGCAGTAACACAAATTATATCCTCCAAATGATCATGATCCAAACTCAATAAATGCTTGACTGCATTGTCAAACTTCTTGGATAAATTTGTCAACTGCAATAATTGTTGATTGAGATGGTTTTTCTTTTGACGGAATGCTTCCATATATGTTTTATATGGAGTCAAAATCTGCGATTCATTGCGGAATGGGAGAAACAAATACAACAAACTGTAATAGTATCCCTCTTCATCCTTCAACATATCTGGAATATAACACTGCAGGCAGGCCAGTTTTGAACGTTGCATAATTAACTTTTTTTCACTTGAAATCTCTAAAGTGTACCTTGGCATACCTTTTGAAGTTTTAGGTACTGTTGATGTTGGCTTATATTTGGTTACAAATTCTGCCAAACACATGTTTTCAAAAACTTCATTATATGGACGATACAGATAGTATTGTGCAAGTCCATCATAATAAATGCTTATGCTATCCTGTGACAACTGATCCAGTTCTTTTTTGGATTTTAGAATTCGATAACGTTTCTCTGGAATGTTGACATCTACATAAATAGATTCCCTTGAGCTATATACCATATTTAGTCCTAATAATCTATAAGCAGTTTCCTGAAGACCAATTGTTCTGTGTGTCAACAAAATATTTCCTATCTTTGATAGGAGTTTTCGTTGAGTAGAGTCCTCTGGAAGTTTTTGGATACAGCTTTGTATTTTCTGTCGAAACTCAAATGGCTCATTCTTAC